ACACGACCGTGTTTCCCCCCTCCCCGTGTCATGGCTGTATCACCCAAACAGAAAAGGATACAGCTGTGGCACCACCTGGACACAACTGTGTTGAAGCCACCCCACCCCCCCACCTGGAGAAATCCACACTTTAGCATCCTCAAGATGTTCCTTCCAAACCCCCACGACACCAACCACCAACTCCGGCTCAACGAACACATCTTATGGTACTTTGGCACATGACTCGTGGCTCTACAAGTAACTTGATTGCATGTGTAGAAGATTGTCGTGAAGAACTTTGAATGGCGAACATTGATACACTAAGAGTTCAATGCCTTATTGCATAACAACACTTGAAAACAAGTTCCACCTGACCTAGGTATGAATATAGTAGGAGTTAAGTGGGTGTTCTAAGTCAAGAGAAAGGCTAATGGATCAATTGAATGTTACATGGGTCGACTTGTTGTTAAGGGGCTCAATTAAGTTGAATAAGAAAATAACTTTAACACTTTTAGTCAGTGGTCAAGCCAACTACAATAAGATTTCTCTTATCTCTTGCCATAAAAAAAAACTAATTAATCTGTCAACTAGATGTTCGTAATGCTCTCTTAAATGGCTCTAGAAGTGATAATGTTTTTATGAAGCAATCATCAAAGTACATAGACAAAGACTTTCCTAATCATGTTTGCAAACTACATAAATCACTCTATTGCGTGTACATAGACAAAGACTTTCCTAATTATGTTTGCAAACTACATAAATCACTCTATTGCTTGAAATAATGGGCTTCAAGACTTCAAAAACTTATGTGTCTTTGTTTATCTATTCAGTTGCTAACACTTATATTTATTTATTGAGTTAATACTCGATTTGATCCCTAGACTATTACGATTTCACCACTTTGGTCATCAACTTTCAAACTTGTTCAATTTCATCCCCAACTATACAATTGTTAACCAAAGTGGTCCTAATCAGGACTATTTTGGTTTGGACAAATGACTATTTTAGGTAAAAATTGCATAGTTGGGGATTAAATTGAGTAAGAGTTAATTCCCAAAATGGTCCTCCGACTATGGCCTTTTCTTAAATTGGTTCCTTAACTTTTAATTGCACCTAAAGCGGTCCTCCGACTATTGAATTTTAAGCCAAGGTCATCTTTTAGCTTTGGCGTAAAGTAGGTGTTAAAATGAAGGGTAAAATGGATCATTCAGGTTTTGCACTCTAATTTAATGAATTTGCGACTCCCTTTAAGCAGTCTGCAAATGTTTTTCTTCAAATTAGGGTTTTTCTCTCCTCAATTTGCGATAAAAATGTGGGATAATCAACTAGAAGACCAAAAAAATTCATCTTCAACTTCATCTACAAACTTCCCAATGCAAGGATTTCGCTATGGATCTAAACATTGTTACTACAATTACCACAAAACATATATATGAATCTAAACCTAAACCTAAACCATCTTCTATTGCCACAGTTGCAAGTTCTTAGGATAGCCGCATCCCCACTTCTGACAATTGCACGTAACCTCTCAATTTCTTGCTTGTTTCGATTAATTCGCTTTAACAATCCAGGAATTATCTTCTTTGATCTATAACACATTGGGGGTCAAACCATTCTTGAAATCAACATCCAACCATACCCTGTAAACATAAATCCTAAACATTAAACCGTAAAATTAATAATAATAATAATAATAATAATAATAATAATAAAATAATAATAATAATAATAATAATAATAATAATAATAATAATAATAATAATAATAATAATAATAATAATAATAATAATAAAATAATAATAATAATAATAATAATAATAATAATAATAATAATAATAATAATAATAATAATAATAATAATAATAATAATAATAATAATAATAATAAATAATAATAATAATAATAATAATAATAATAATAATAATAATAATAATAATAATAATAATAATAATAATAATAATAATAATAATAATAATAATAATAATAATAATAATAATAATAATTAATAATAATAATAATAATAATAATAATAATAATAATAATATAATAATAATAATAATAATAATAATAATAATAATAATAATAATAATAATAATAAATAATAATAATAATAATAATAATAATAATAATAATAATAATAATAATAATAATAATAATAATAATAATAATAATAATAATTAATAATAATAATAATAATAATAATAATAATAATAATAATAATAATAATAATAATAATTAATAATAATAATAATAATAATAATAATAATAATAATAATAATAATAATAATAATAATAATAATAATAAATAATAATAATAATAATAATAATAATAATAATAATAATAATAATAATAATAATAATAATAATAATAATAATAATAATAATAATAATAATAATAATAATATAATAATAATAATAATAATAATAATAATAATAATAATAATAAATAATAATAATAATAATAATAATAATAATAATAATAATAATAATAATAATAATAAATAATAATAATAATAAAATAATAATAATAATAATAATAATAAATAATAATAATAATAATAATAATAATAATAATAATAATAATAATAAATAATAATAATAATAATAATAATAATAATAATAATAAATAATAATAATAATAATAATAATAATAATAATAATAATAATAATAATAATAAAATAATAATAATAATAATAATAATAATAATAATAATAATAATAATAATAAATAATAATAATAATAATAATAATAATAATAATAATAATAATAATAATAATAATAATAATAATAATAATAATAATAATAATAATAATAATAATAATAATAATAATAATAATAATAATAATAATAATAATAATAATAATAATAATAATAATAATAAATAATAATAATAATAATAATAATAATAATAATAATAATAATATAATAATAATAATAATAATAATAATAATAATAATAAATAATAATAATATAATAATAATAATAATAATAATAATAATAATAATAATAATAATAATAATAATAATAATAATAATAATAATAATAATAATAATAATAATAATAATAATAATAATAATAATAAAATAATAATAATAATAATAAAATAAAATAAAATAATAATAATAATAATAATAATAATAATAATAATAATAATAATAATAATAATAATAAAATAATAATAATAAAATAATAATAATAATAATAATAAAATAATAATAATAATAATAATAATAATAATAATAATAATAATAATAATAATAATAATAATAATAATAATAATAATAATAATAATAATAATAATAATAATAATAATAATGTTTGTATGCTCCATTGTGAAATCTTTGCCTTGAGAGAAGTTTTTAGATGAAGTTGAAGATGAACTTTTTTGGCCTTCTAGTTGATTATCGTCCTACATTTTGATCGCAGATTGAGGAGAGTACAAACCTAATTTGAAGAAAAACGTGCGCAGGCTGCTGAAAGGGAGTCACATATTCATTAAATTGGAGTGCAAAACCTGGATTACCCGTTTTACCCTTCATTTTAACACCCACTTCACGCCAAAGCTAACGGATACCATTTTGGCTTAAAATTTAATAGTCGGAGGACCACTTTGGTTGCAATTAAAAGTCAAGGAACCAATTTAAGAAAATGCTATAGTCGGAGGACCATTTTTGGAATTAACTCAATTGAGTAATTTGGAAGTTGAGGACCAAAGTAGTGAAATCTTAATAGTACAGTCGAGGGACCAAATAAGATATTAACTCTTTATGTGTTGGTTTTTGTTGAAGATATACTAATAATGTGTGGAGACAAAGTCCTCTTGACTTCTATTACAAACATGCTAGTTGATGTCTTCAAAATAAGAGGTATGGGACCATCAAACTTCTTTCTAGGAATAGAGACAGTTAATAGCAAATGGGCAATGATATTGTCGCAAAGAAGGTATTTGATTGAAATACTAAAAAGGTCAGGAATAAAACATTGCAAACCAATCTCGACTCCAATTCTAGTTAATAGTAAGCTAAGTACAACAGTCACAAGTCAACCATATGAAAATCAAAAAATCTTATACAGTAGTGCAACTGCATGTGTTAGAGCACTTCGGTACTTAACCATCACTCGTCCGGATCTCTCCTTTGTAGTCAACAAACTTTGTCAGTTCATGCACTCTCCAAACACTGAGCACTAGGTGGCAGTCAAACGAGTTCTAAGGTATGTCAAAGGGACTTCAGACTATTGACTGCATTATACAAAATCTAACTCTGTTGATATCAATGCTTTCTCAGATTCTGATTGAGCAGGGTGCTCTGATAATCGAAAATCTACTAGTGATTTTGTTGTTTTCATTGGCAAAATTGAATCTCTGGGGGTTGTCGCAAGGAAAAGACAATGGCTAGCTAGATCATTAACATAAGCAGAATACAAAACAATAGCAGATGTCTCAACAAAAGTAACATCGTTAATTGCTCTCATTCATGAAGTTTGACTCAAAGTAGCAAAACCACCTCGACTCTGGTGAGACAATCTTGCTGTATGTATCTATGTGCAAATCCTGTTTTTCATGTCCGAACTAATCATGTAGAAATAAACTACCACTTTGCAAACTACATCTCTACTAAGGACTAACTTGCAAACATCTTTATCAAACCACTCACCACTGCTAAATTCAATCTTCTAAGAAAGTTGGCGTTCATGTAATTCCGACCACCTAGTGGTCAGAATTTACGACCATTGTTGGGTAAAAAGTAATTAAATTAAAAAATTGCATTTCACTGCTCTTTTAATTTAATGCATAGTATCCCCGCAATAGTAATTTTAAAACAAATAGTAGTTTCGTAACAGTGTAACATCACCAAAAGATTATTCATTGCAATAGCAATTTTAATTGCATGTAAAAGTTATCTAACTTTATATTTCAAAAAGTAGTAGCTACTTTACAATTCTAAATATTTCTACAATTATATTTACAAGTAGCATCACAAGTTCTAACAAGTGCTTAGTCAAAAATTGAACTATTGAGATTGCGCTGGAGATTGTGTATCATCATTCATGTTGAGATTATCTAGCCCAATATAATGAACAACACTACTTTGATTGCTATCAGCTGTATGAGCAACAGATTGGAACAACTCCAGATGTGCACTACATAAACCTTGCATCAACTCCATAATCTTCTTATTTTGCTCTATAATCTTCTTGTTATCATGCTCTAATTGTTTAATTTTTTCCTCACAAGCTGCATGTGAGGGTGATTCTCCATATATATCTTGACTTCCTCTGCATTGCCACCTCGGGGAAGCAATGTTGGGTATTTGACCCAGACCCAAACCCAAACGCCCAACCTCCTTTCTTGAGACCACCTGCCGCCTCATACCAAGCAATTGCATCTCCAAGTTCAGATTAAGTTTGTTGTATTTGACTTATAATTTCCTATATTGATAGACAATTTTTTAAAACTCATATTAAAAAATATTCACTAATAAAAAAGCAAGTGTAATATCAACATTTCCAACTTAATTACCAATCTAAGTTTATCATTTTCTCCATATTGAAAAATGTTCACTAATAAGAAAGCAAGTGTAACATGATCAACCAGATGAATCCGAAAACTTCAGCAACAAAAAAAATGCTATTGTATTGACACTGTACTAAGGAAGATCAAATATTTTCTACAATCTGTAATCATGCATTTCTGTTTTGAAGTTACACAACACTGTCTTAATAATCTTCTAAGTATGAGAATACTTTATAATTTTCACAACAGAATGTACACATATTCAGAAATCAAAAAGGTCGGGATAAGTGGAGTGTTTCTGGATATGTGCAGACATTTGGAAAGTGGAGTGTTTCTCTATAGATTTTAAGTTTACAAAATGGGATAAACAAGAAATATATAACTACATCATAGTTTTATATTTAATGCTGAGAGATTATAGAAATTAAGACGCTTACTAATACTTGTTGAGCTCTTTTACACACAAGAAATATATATAATTTGCTCCCAGGGCTGGTTTTTTTGCTCGTACATAATGCCCAATAGCACTAATATAAATATTTTAAATAATTATATATCAACATACTAATATATAGACAACATATAAACACATACATAAATAAATACATTTTACACACACACAAAGAAATATATATATATATATATATATATATATATATATATATATATATATATATATATATATATATATATATATATATAGGCTTCGAATCCGGTGCACACCCAATGACACATGGGCACATGAGATCTCTTGATATCCATTGATTCCATCTCCATGAATGGTTAAGATTAGATGAGATTTTGAAAGAAATTAAGGATATTTAGTAATCACAAGGATCAAAATGTAATTGTATTTAGTTGTTTAATTATGGACATTATATTAATGGAATCTTAAGCATTATATCAGTGATGTTATTATAGGTAAATTAAATGTGCATAGGCCGGGTAAGAAAGAAAACGCGTGAGGAAGTGTGTGGGAGCAGAGTAACGGGCGGAGGAGTGTCATACGAAGCGCAAACTGCAGTCATGGCTTCAGGCAGCAAAGGTATGTGCGAAATCGTATATTGGTATGTGCGTATATGCACGGTAGTTTGGTTTTTAGATAATTGTTGTTGGGTCGGATGGAGAATAATTTGGGAGTGTTAGGGGGCGTAGTTAAGCACATTGTATGACGGGCACGGGTTGATTAAGCAGGTGTACAAAGCTGGGAGTTTATTTTACCGGTGAGGGTATTAGGATGGTGGACAGGTTGTGTGCGGGTTGGTAGTACAGTATGTGCATAACGAGAGAAAATGCGGGTGTGCGTAGTGTGGGCCACTGACTCTTATATTGAAACTGTGTCTGTGGTATGTAAGACTAACTAACACGTAGAGGGACGTGTGTGCATGTAGGTATGTTTGTAACGGTGTGGAACGACATGATGCTAGAATAGTGTGCATTGTGCATGGAACAACAGTAGTAGGTGCATAGTGGGCTAACAGAGGTTTGTGAACAGACTAAAATGTTAAGAAATGTTTGTTGTTTGTCAGGTGCACTACCCATGGAAGATGATGCTGGGCGGAAAAATTGTGTTATGGACGTATCACCGGCGGTAATGAGACTTGGTTAACAGAATGTGACCCAATATAAAGCCGGCCCAGGGTCAAATGTTTAAAAACTTAGACGATGGTATTGAATTCTACATGAAGTATGCATCTATAGCTGGCTTTGATGTGAGTCGAAGTTCTGACAAGAAGAACATGTACGATGCCAGTTTGAGGAAAAAGATGGTTTGTTCACGTGAAGGTTTTAAGGAAACGAAAAACACAGGGCCGGCTGTTAGTGATGCACCAACAAAGGCCAGACGCCGCTGGCCATCAACTAGAGTTGGGTGCATGGTTAGGATTGTATTCAAAAGAGACAGTGCGGAAAGGTATGTTGTGAAGACATTCGAAGAGGCACACACGCACTGTTTGTGCGAGGAGAGTTACAAGCCTTTCTTGAAAGTGAATAGGAAACTAGATGTTGGTCATCAACAATTCATAACGAATTGCTCTAAGGTTAATGTTGGTGCCAGTAAGAGTTTTGACATATACCCAGAGATGGTTGGTGGAGTTGAGAACGTGGGTTGTACGCAGCTAGATTTCAAGAATTACAGAAAGGAGGTCTTGGCATACATGCAAGGTAGAGACGCACAAATGGTAATATCGAAATACCTTGATATCAAATCTGACTACAGTGACATGTACTTCGAATACGAAGCAAATGAAAAAGACCAATTGGCACGTGTGTTTTGGGCGGACGGTGCGGCACGCCATAAATTCTGTGCGTTTGGAGATGTCGTATCGTTCGATGCAACGTACAAAACAAACAGGTACGCAATTCCGGAAACTAAAAACTAAAAATGCAATCGTCCTATATGTGTAAACGTTGAGTGTGGTTCAGAGTTTTGTGAGCATTTTATAAAAATGAACGTGGAGGGTGTAGGGGGGAAAACAGTCTGCTGTGCGTGCGTGAGCTGAATCGTGAGCGTGATAGTGTGTAGTGAATGCATGGCCACCTATCTGAATGGCAAAAACTTAACGTTGTATGCTGTGAGAATTTTATAAAAATGTACGTGGAGGGTTTAGGGGAAAAAATAGTCTGTTGTGCGTGCGTGAGTTGAAGCGTGAGCGTGGTAGTGTGTAGTGAATGCATGGCCACCTATGTGAACGTCAAAACTGGACGGTCTATGCATACGAACTAACTAGTTCCCTGGTGTGACAGGTACAGTCTCGTGTTTGTCCCATTCACCGGCGTAGACAACCACAAAAAATGTGTGACATTTGCAGCAGCACTAATTGCTAGGGAAGATGTGAACTCGTATTGTTAGGCACTGAGGAACTTCAAGAGCGCAATGGGCAGCACACCGCGTATTACAGTAACAGATCAAGACCCGGCAATGAAGGTAGCAATTGCAAAGGAATTCCCGGAGACCCGACACCGTTATTGCATGTAGCACATAATGACAAAGGTGAGTGATAAAGTGAGCCCTGAGATGGCGCGGAACAAAAAGTTCCGCCGGGAACTAATGGTGTAGTGTGGAATGACAGCGCGACTTCTGAATATTTTGAGGTCGCATGGAAAGGAGTTATTGAAAAATACGGATTACAGGAAAACGCATGGCTGAAACGTATGTATGACGAGCGTGCAACATGGGTGCCTACGTGTTTTGAAGACATGTTTATGGGCGGACTACTCCGTACAACATCCCGGTCTGAAGCAGAAAATAGAATTTTCCGAACCCACACAAACAAACACATGTGTCTTTCAGAATTTTTCATCCGGTTAGAGAGTACAATTAGAAAGCAACGGATCACAGAGGCAGACCTAAGTGGGGCTTGCAATGCACAAACACCCCCCTTCAAAACGCAACTGCGAATAGAGCAAGATGCAGCGTCACTGTATACATTAAGCGTGTTTTACGAGATACAAGAGAATATATGTGCCGGATGTTTTGATTGTCGAGTGCGTTCAGTCAACCATAATGGACACATAGGCACGTATGTGGTCGAGGATGAATACAATAAGAGATACACGGTCATAGTAGAGAATGGGACAAACACAACAGCCTGCACATGCCGATTGTACACAAGGATTGGTTTGTTATGTAGTCATGCTTATGCGGTTCTAATCTACGAAAGGATCGAGCACATACCTCCCCAACATATCACCCCGGATGGACAAAAACCGCATTAAAAAAAACAAATGGAGTGGGCAATGATAGTCTGCGACATGCTAGGACTTCGTCAACCAACAGTAACGAAGAAAGCACCATAATTAATTTGTTATACAGATGTTTAGGTCTCTCTCGCTCAAGGACACAGTTCGAAGTTGGAGCCGATTCGAAAAACACTAGAGGAGTTCGAAGCAACATGGTTCGAGAGCGGGGTAGAACGAGGGGGTACAGATAAAGGCAAACAAGTGATTATGGAGTCATACTGCGGCGTTCCACAACCTGAGGCAGTCAATGTGCACCCACCACCCGTTTCAAGCAACAAAGGGTCGGGAAAACGAATGAGGACTGCTAAAGAGAAGGAGCAAAGTAAGAAGAAACGAACATGCAAGACCTGTGGACTAGCAACCGGCCACAACAGTAGGAGTTGCCCACAGAAATAAAAACGGTATTATAATTGAAAAAACTAGTGAAAGCGTTACTATTTAATTCGAACTATTTAATCTTCGAAGATGTCATGATATTTTGAATTTTTTTAAAAAAATACAGTATGCATGTGTGTGAAACACTCTACAGCACGAGCGTAAAGCTTTACTAATTTACACGTAAATTGAGGTGACATTGGCTATACAAACAAACCCAAACCCTTGACGCACAGACCGATATGAGTCGATGCACAGGGTTAGTACTGCGTTGATAAGAGTGGAAATGTGAAAAAGCGGTATTATATTTGAACTATTTAAGCTTCGAAGATGACTTGACATTTTAAAGTTATTTGTCTAGTAAATCCAGTATGCATGTGCGTGAAACACTCTACAGCACGAGCGTAAAGCTTTACTAATTTACGAATGATGGTGCCTTGGGAAGACAAAATGAATAATGGCAAATAAAGGGATGAGATCAAACACTGGGTTAGTTGGTGTGTTTGTACACTTGAATAGAGGTGACATGGTCTGTGCAATGCAAGGTGACATGGTCTGTGCAATGCAAGTTGACATAGTCTGTGCAATGCAATGTGACATGGTCTGTGCAATGCAATGTGACATGGTCTGTGCGTTGCAAGGTGACATGGACTGTGTAATGCAAGGTGACATGGTCTGTGCAATGCACGGTGAACAAACACAAATAATAATGAACCCCAAATACCAACAACTGTGTTTAAAAATAAATACGTACTAAGAGAAAACTGTTTCGATTGAGTGGAACAAACATAAATAATAATGCAATATAAAAACCAAATACTAAACGTAAACAATAATAGCGTATAAAGATTAGCTTAACCAAGCAACATAAAAACAAAAAACAAAAACCCCCATACTGGGAAGCCCATAATATAAAGTGTTGTGAATAGAAATAGGTGGAATAAAATGTCGCCTTCAACGTGTCGCAGCATTTGACCTCTTAATAGAATCGACATTCGACACCCGATGAGTGTTGCTTTGGAACATCAAAATGTCATACAAGAAGTGGGCGTGTAAAGCAAGCAAACCACGTGCATCACCCCTACAAAGGCCACAATCCCATGAAGCGTATGCCTGACCAACATAAGACTCCATATGGAGCATAGCAAACACCCCGCAATCTACTTTGTTCGTAGCATCACGCTATGGTAACCGTACTCTACGAGGAATCAGTCGTGTGGCCTTCATAAATAATGCGGACACCCGAACATCCTTTAAGAAACCCGACAGCAAATCATGCTACAAAAATGGCACTGCATTAAACCAGCGCTCACAGCAGAACAAGACACTGAATTATGAAACCCAAAAATG